GTTCTCACTGTTGGAGGAGCTTGGGACCTTGCTGTTGCTGAGGATGGCTGTGGTACTTTTTGTGAGAGCTCTGGTTCTTACTTTGAGCATCGGTTCCTGGCTCCAGTGCCAAACTCTCAGCTAGCTGGCACAGGTTTTCTAGCTTCCACCACTAACTTTGAGACCTCCTTAGGGCAGATCCTTGAAATAGGCCTGTATGAGACATTGTTGTGCACTCTTGTCCTCTAGCTTGGACTGTGGGGAGCATTGTTTTGAGCTCTGTCTTCAGCTGGACTCATGAAGGACATTGCCATGGGATCCAGATCTCAGCTGGATTCTTTTGTTCTTTAGTGTATAGACAGATTTATTGCACTTTTCTGTACTAAACTCTTTGAGTTCTGTATTGTTTTCTTTGCAAATCCTAACTACAATATAGGGTAATACTTGCTTCCAGGAATGATTTGGAAGTATTTCTTCTTTTTGAATTTCTTTAAAGATTTTCAGCATTAGTGGTATTAGTTTTCCTCTAAATTTCTTGAAGAATTCAACAGTGAATTTACCAGGGCCTGGGCTTTTCTTTGTTGGTCTATTTTTAATTACATTCTCAATTTCATTGACTGATATCAAGTTATTTAGATTTTTATAGATTCTTGATTTATTCTTGGCAATTGAATTGTGTCCAGGAACCTGCCCATTTCTTCTGTTTTTTTCCATCTTATTAAAATATAGTTTCTCATGGTAGGTATTGATGATCTCCTGGGTTTCTGTGGGATCCATTGTGATTTACCCCTTTTCATTCTGAATTGCTTGCATTTTTTTTTTGCTCTTTTTAGTTTATCAATTTTATTTATTCTTTCAAAGAACAACTTTTTGATTCATTGTTTTTTGTATTGATATTTTAGTTTCTATTGAATTAATTTCTGCTCTAGCATTTATAATTTCCTCCATTGTATGAGCTTTGGATTTGATTTGTTCTTTTTTTGTAGAAGTTTGAGGTTCAATATTCAGTCCAGTTATTTGAGATTGTTCTGTTTTCCCAGTGTGTGAGTTCCTTGCTATATATTTCCCTCATAGGACTGCTTTCATTGCATCCCATACCTTTTGGTATATTGTATCAGCATTGTTGTTTAATTGTATATACTGTTTAACTTCATCTTTAATTTCTTTTGTGACCCATTGGTTGTTCAGAAGGGTGTTATTTAATTTCCAAGTATTATAGCAGTTTTTGTGGTTTCCTTTGTTCTTGTTTTCCAGTGTCATTGTGCTATGGTCATATAGTATGCCTGGTATGATTTAATTCCTCTACATTTACTTAAACATGTTTTGTCAGCTAATATATGATCTGTTTTGGAGAACATTCCATGTGTATCTGAGAAGAATGTGTATTCTGCTGTTTTTGGGTGAAATACTCTGTAGACATCTACCAAGTCCATTTGTTCACAGGCTTTGCATAATTCTGATATTTCTTTGTTGATTTTTTTTGTCTGGTTGATCTACCAGATTGTGAGAGTGAGGTATTATGATCCCCCATTATAACTGTGTTAGTGCCTATTTGGTTTTTCATGTCAGTCAATGTTTGTTTTATGTAGTTGGGCGAATCTGTGTTAGATACATAAATATTTATGTTATTATCTCTTCTTATTGGAGTTTTCCCTTAATGGGTATGTAGTGACTTTCTTCATCTCTTTTCATCAGTTTTGGTTTAAAGCTTCCATTACCTGCAAATAGAATAACTACCCCTGCTTTTTTCTGGGTTCCTGTGGCAGGGAGAATTTTTGTCTATCCTTTGACTTTTAGTCTATAAATTTCTTTTGGGATTAGATATATTTCTTGAATGCAGCATATTGTGGGATCTTGCTTCTTGATCCATTCTGCTAGTCTGTTTCTTTTGATTGGTGAGTTGAGACCAGTTATATTGATAGTTATAACTGATGTATATTGGTTTTTCATTTTCATGTTGTTTCCCTGTTGTTTGTTCCTTGCCTTTTTGCTCCATTTAATTGCTTGCTCTGCCCTGGCAGCTTCTTTCTGTTGGTGTTCTTGTGTTTGTGGTCTTCATTATCCCTCTCTAATATGTCTTTCAGAGCATTTTGTAGAACTGGTACCACTCACCATTTTCGCAGAAGTCCTCCAAACAACTTTATTCTTATGTTACCAATCAATTTGTTTATTTTTGTTTGTTTGTTGTTTTTCTGGTACCCGGAATCGAACTCACGACTTTGTGCTTGCCAGGCAGGCGCTGTGCCGCTGAGCTAAGTCCCCAGCCTCTATTTAAATTAGGCCATTGTTAAGTCATGCAAATGGAAAGAATTTGGGCTGATATCATGAACTGCTCAAGGTGTGTGTGTGGGCAGGTGTAGACAGCTCTGCCCTTTTTTTCTGCTATAATTAGTCTAGCCTTCTCCACTAGTCATGCAGAAATCTGTTGCTCATGTGAAGGACAGGAGTCCTTGTTCATGGCACACAGCTACTCCAACCTTCATCAATAGACAAAAAAGTAGAAAAAAAAGTTGTACAGAAAGCCTTGGCTTTACTCAAAGGTTTATTCCAAAGATCTTTATGTCTAGGGACTTATAACATATTAAAGGAACTCATAGATGATTTACTTTTATTTTTTTGAGACATGGTTTAACTATGTAGCTCAAGCTGGCCTCTAATTCATGGTGATACTCCTCCCTCAGCCTCCCAAGAGTGCTGGGATTACAGGCATGTGCCATCCTGCTCACCTCTCACAGATGATTTAAAATGTGTGGTGATATCACTTAGCAACTACAAAACAAAACCCATTTTAGATACGAAACTAAGGAGGCTAATATTGTTATAAGTACACCAAAAGCAAATAAACTAGTGGGACAAAGCAAGCTAGCATTAAAGAATCAACCCCATGAGGATCCTGAAAAATACCTATGAGTAGGCCTGGACAGGTGGCCCTAGGACCCAGGTAAATCACTGCAAACAGCTACAAAAGGCTGACATGGAGCCCTTCCCTTGGGCCTGTGGACATCTCTACCCTTTCCTTTCCCCAGCTCCCTGTGGTGAGACACTAGCACAGACCCTGGAGCCATACAAAAAATTGCCAAGTTCCCGTCTCCCATTAGTGCCTCTCTACCTTCAACTCCTGCCTTTCTCCGTTAACAAATTTCAGAAAAGTCAAAGGATTTTAGTTTTCTGCCAAATCAAATCCTTAGAGTGAGAAAGGAGATGAGACAAGAAGGGGATTGAGGATTTTAAGAGAGAGAGGCGGGAAGAAAAAAACCCAAACAGTGGGGTCCTTCTCAGTTTGCCTCCACAGATTGTCAAATTCTGAGAATACTGTCAATTTCACCTGAATGACCTCTTCAATCTACAGCATTTAGACCATTTCCAGTCACCCAGAATGGGAGCTATGGGATCCAGAAAATGGGCTTATGCCCTTCAGTTTTGAGAACGAGGTGGGTAGGGTATTAAAAGAGTAGTTTGGAAGATTTTCTTTTACCTAAAATGTTTAGAGCCCTAAGATATGCATAACTTGAGATTGCTCTCTCAGCTATCTCACCAAGACAAGTTTTCTAGTAAGACTAGGCTTCCCACATTGGCTACATGATAAACTTTGCTTGAGGCACTCGATGGGTCTATCCTTTTATGTGGTTCATTGGTGAGCAAATGTTTCAGTTGCATCTGATCCAGGAGTGTGGTAGGTTGGCCTGTGGGAATACCTAACGAGGCCGCTACAAGTTATGGAGGATAGCTGTCAGCATCTCTTTCCATTTCTCGTTAGAAGGAGGCAGTTCCTCTTGTCTTCAGAGCTTTTAGATGTAAGCATTCATTTTTCTAGGGACTTGGGAGCCTCTAACTGCTGAGAGGGAAAAGCTCAGATCTGCAGAATTTTGTCGTCAGAGAGAAAAAAAATTGAAAAAAATAAAAGAAATAAACTAGCAAATTAACACTTCGTCTTAATACATCCAAATTGATTTATAGAGCAGAAATGTGTTTCACATTCTAGGCTGAAGTATTTGAAATTTTATTTTTTATCTGAAACCAATCTTCTGGGCTGATAGACATTTTGATAACATCCTGTATTGAAATACATTCTCTGTTGGAAGCAAAGGTAAGTCAGATATTGAGAAAAGTGTAAGTCTTAAAGTCTTAAGAAAAGCATAAAACCAATCTGTTTAAGAAAAAGTGCTAGCTTGAAAAAGAAACCCTCTTAGAAGAGTTTTACTGATTAAATTTAAGAAGGGCATAGTCACCAATATGTGGTCATAATTAAGGAAATCAGTCGGGGAGGTTGGGATGTATCCTTCAATAATAAATAAGTCAAGAAGCCATGGCAATTTCCCAGCTTGAGCAACTGGTAGAGCAAACTGAGGGCTGGGCAATGCAATACAGAAAATCTCGGAGGGAATGAGGGAAAGAAACATCCTGTAGAGAAATAGTATATGTTAGAAAACAACAATACATAAGAAAAAGGCTTGTTCCAAAGTTTTTTACTGTTTCCTGAAGGTGAAGAACTGATACACAGTAAAGATTCAATGCAATAAGTAGTATGAAGCAAGAGCATGAGAAGAATGGCCTAGGTGTTTCTCATGCTGCCCAAAGGATAAAGAAATAGGAAAATTCAATTAGTTCACAAAGTCGGGAGCATAGACTATTTCATAAAGTATTGAAATACATCACCAATAAACTCTATACAGGTTGAACATCTGTAACACAAAAATCCTGAATCCAAATTTCTCCAAAATCTGAAACTTTTTGAGCACTAACACAATACCACAAGTAGAAAATTGCACACTTAACCTCAGGTGAAGATTGCAGATGCACAGTACACATAAAAAATTGTATAAAATTGTCTTTATTATATGTGTATAAAGTGTATATGAAACATAAATGAATTTTGTATTTAGACTTTAATCTCATCCCCAAGATATTCCGTTTTGCATGTGAAATATTTCAAGATTTGGAAAAATTTGAAACACTTCTAGTTCCAAACATTTGGATTAAGGGATACTCAATCTATAATATCTGTTCATTTATGTTTTCAGACTTGGGAGTTATCCTGCCTAATGATTCCACCAAATACAAGCAGCAAGTATCTCAGAATAAAATAGGAGATGGTAATGGATGTTGTCAGAAATATCATGATATGTCTGATATACTTTCTTGTTTGTATAACCTCTAGACTATATGTACATGTTTAGATGATATTTGGGGTCTCTATATCTCAACCTTCTGTATAATACAGACATTTTCATTTATTGGAAGGAACACATGAAATAACACGATTTCCTTGAGGCTTCATTTTATGGGTACATATGTGTCACATATTCAGTTTATTTTAGCCCTGATAATTTTTGTAAGGAATTTTGTAGACCCAAGCATCACAGTAGTTTTATGGCAGTTCACAAACAATTCAGCTACCGAGTGACATCTATCTAGGCTACACTGCTCTGTGTTTTCATTTCATTTCATTCAGAGCCCCCAAGCATTTCCTGAATATAACTTGTCCTCTTGAGCATTTTGCATCTACTGAGTAAAACTTGCTACTTCCTGAATCTCCTGCTTCAGTCTTCCATGGGTTATTTACAGCACTCAGCAGAACATTAAAACTGTTAAGTCCATGAAGTGCAGACCTGTGGGCATTCTGGAATATGACCTGGGAGAATGGCAGGGGATAGAACATCATTGCTTCTTGTGCCCTGATTAGGACAGAAATCTTGACAAACTTACTTATAGTCTAGAGCCCTCACCTGCATGGTATCACTTGCATATTTCCAGAGAGGGGCTGGGTTAGGATATAGAATCCTAAGTGTAAAAACTGTAACTCCTTTTGAGAACTATCCCACCTTTGATTCTGTATCAAGTAAAAGCTTTATTTCGCTAACATATGTCTGTATTCACCAACAAGTGAGAGTGGTGCCTAATTTTAGCATGCATATTAAACTTGTAGTAAGGAAAATCTTTTCCCCCTCTTCCAAAACATGTCAAACATTAGAAAACATTATAGTGATATTATGAAAATTATTTCATCAGTAGTATGTGTTTGACCCAGAAATGGTTGTAAAGTGACAAGATATCTCTTAGTATCAACAGAAGTCACGCTGCCTGTTTGTCACTTTAGGTTTATTTATTTATTTATTTATTTATTTATTTATTTTTGGTTTTTCTCCGGTACCTGGAACTGAACTCACGACCTTGCGCTTGCCAGGCAGGCGCTTTTGCTGCTGAGCTAAATCCCCAGCCCTCACTTTAGGTTTAGCTCCCTTTCTACTTCTCATGTGATGGCCTCTGATCCAAACCTGGCATGTTTGATGCTATTTCCAAAGATCAGATCTAGAGTTGGTTTCCAGGAGAAGCAAGTCATTTCTTCATTTCATTGTAATCATGTATTATTATCTGGGTTTAATTTATATATATATATATATTTTTTTTTTTTTTTGAGAACTATCATACACCCCTAAACCCTATGATAAAATGTTCCTGTTCTTACTTAAATAAGATTCTTTGCTGCAGGGAAAGTTCTGATTAATGCCAAAAGTTAGGCTGTCTTGGATAATTTTCTCTCATTGTTGAGACAAAATACCTAGCATCCAGAATTAAGGAAGGAAAGGTTTATTTAGCTCACAGTTTGTGGAGGTTTCCGTCTATATTCAGCTGGCTCCTGGGCAGGGTGGCTTGGCACTGGGGAACACTTCAAGGCCGCACAAGACAGCAAAAGCAGCAGGAGCACGAGCGGGGGGGGGGAGGGGGAGCAAGCCTCTTTTCCTTCCTTATATTGTATATGGGCTGTCAGCCCATGCCCACACCATCTCCATGCCCACCTCTTACACAGGCTCAGGATGTAGAATTCCTGACTCACTTGCCAAGCCTCTAGACTCCTCAAGTTGACACAATGTATCAACCGTAACATAGGCAAAATAATTCTTTCCTGGCTTTATTTTGGAATCAGAAAAATAAAAAATATTCTGAATAGCACTATCTTCACAATATCTTCCTTTTCTCAATTTGCAGAGATCTGAAAAGATACATTAGAAAAATATAAATAACTTTATAGATTGTTAGATGTTACGAATTTCTAAAGAGAATGCTTCTCCCCACTACTCCCCCCCCACAATAAAAAGGGGCTGAAAGGATGAAAAATTACATCTACTCACCTACCTGGAAAGACCTGGAATAGCTTAGAAATGTCGATCTTGAAGAATTGGTAGGATTTTGCACGAGATGAGAAAGGGTCTAGGGTAGGGCAAAACACTAGAGGCAGTTAGAACTATGATGATACTGATAGTGATAGGGTGAGGGATCACTAAACACCGCCCATGAATACCATACATATATTCATGGTTATATTGCTGAATAGACATTTTCACCTTGCATTCATACCACTGTTCTATTAAGGCATTCTAATTAGCTTCATTTCATACACGAAGAAATTGAAGATCAGATTTACCAAGCAACTTGTTGAAGTTCCACAGCATGTAAGAACCAGGATTCAATCAAGAGCATTTCAAGTCCAAAGACTGTGATCTTCAGTTTGAAATTCTACCACCTTTCATGTGTTGTTATATAGATCATAGATCTGCATTTAACAGGGATTATGGGAAAACTTTAAGGAGTGACAAGATTAGAGGTTACTTCAGGAGCAGTACATAGGATGAGTGTATTAGAGAGAAGATTATACAAGAGTTAAAATTCCTTAAGGAGTCCATTGCAATGCTGAGGTGAGTGCCTGAGCTGGGGGAAGGAATCACATTGAAGAATTCCTACTGGAACATTCATGGTCTCAGAGTCAGATGGCTGACTGTAGCATGGGACAGATCAAGATGGATATTTCTGTCTACTGGCTACTTTTGATTGAAGTACTTTTACTCATCAATATAAAATAAATTGGAGGATGCAAGAAGGGAAGACAAAGGAGAAAGAAAAGGAAAAGAATGGGGAAAGTTGTCAAAATCTTAGGCAAAAGCATGCTTTGTAAAGCTGCCTTTCATGAGGTTTAACATTATACTGAAGAAGCTTAATGCAGAGCCTGGAATACATGCAGTGATTAGAGAACAGCTGGAGATCATTGGCAGTTGTGTGTAGTGAATTCCAGATCGCACAGACTTTGGGAGTGGTTGATATTGAATGTCATACTGTGCATGGAAATTATCTTCATGCCCAGTACCCTCTTCCTGCTTTGCTTTCAGACATAGCATCACCTGTTTACAAACACAAATTATTTCTATTACTCCTTGAAAAAAATCCCTAAGAGAAATGACCTTTTTATTTATTTATTTATTTAAATTAATTAATCAATTAATTTGCTACTGGGAATCAAACTCAGGACCTTGAGCTTGCCAGGCAGGTTCTGTGCCACTGAGCTAGATCTCCAGCCCAACCTGTTATTTTAAATTGATACAACTACCTGGCATTTCTAAGGGTGATTCCTTACTTCTTGACTTGCTAATACTTCTTCCAGCTGATGGAATCTGAGTAGACTTGAGAAAGCTAAATGCTTGAATTGTGCTTTTATTTCTGCCTCTGCCATAAGATCATTTCAGAATGAGACATGTGGAGAGGATTCATCTGGGTTGGAAGGCAGGGCCCCTGTTCAATCTGAACAGGCAAGACTGACCAATCCTTAGTTTCTCACAGCCTAGTCAAGATGAAAACCAATGCTGTGTTTTTTAACGCGACACAAAATCATTGTGGTTAAAGGAAGCATCTCTAAAGTACATGCAGGCTAAGATAGGTGCATAGGCATGATTCTATTCTTTCTAAACTCTGCTCCAATAAATAATACTTCTCAAACTTTGGCAGGCTAAACAGTAACACGAGGAGGATGTTACAATTTTGGGAACAATTATTCTTAGAGATCCCAATCTCGTGGGCTTGAGCAGAGCTCAGAAGCCTTTATTTTCTTAGGCTCTCCAAGCCATTCTCAGGCAAGCTTGTTAGAGTAGGCTCTTAACAGCTTTTCCATGTTGCAGGAAAAAGATCCTTGTGTGAAAAGCCTCATGGGATGAGAACAGAAAAAAACTGTAAACGATGCATGTAATCTCTACAACTGGGCAATGTGGTCACTGAGTAAAAGTTGAAGAAATACTATGAGCACACCAAAATAGCTCCTCAGCTATTCTATCTTTGCCTTCTTCTGGCCTTGCTTTTGCCAAGTGAGTAGTGTCTAGGTCAGACAGGAATTTAACACATCTTAATGTCTCTGTCACCATCATAGATTTTTAGGCTCACATCTAAATAGATCTGGTTGCCAAAATCCTCCTAAGCTAATATATGACCCTCTAATCTTTCCCTTCTTAGGTAGCTTGATTCAGGGCCTGAGTATCTACCATTATCATTCACCAACTGTGATGTGATATCCAATTATTATTTTAAATTATTTCTCATTTGCTCTGTTACTTACAAAACAAATGCATGATTCAGTTCAGCACCTGTTACTCCAGAAATTAACAGTCTTCTCCATCTCATTAGAAGCTTGATCACTTCATCTTTCATGATAACACATAGGGTTGTTCTGAGCATTAAAGACCATAATCCATCTGAAGGGTATAAAAGGCTGGTCAACAACAGGCAATTAATTTTGTTAGTAAAGTAATGCCTACAAAAATCTACAGGTCAGCTTTGCATCACTATGACGAAGCATGTAAGATAACAACTTGAACAAAAATTTGTTTTGGCTCATTGTTGCAGAAGATTCTGTCCATGGTCAGTGGGCTGCATGGTTTTTGGTGGGTGACAAAGCACATCACAACAGGGAGTGTATACTAAAGAAAAGCTCCCCATTTCATTGCAGCAGAAAGGCAAACAGAGAGAGGAAAAGCTGTAGAGTCAACATACCATTTAAAAACATGACCCCAGTGCACATTTTTTTCACTCGGCCCCTCCTTCTAAAAGTTCCATCACCTCCCACTAGGGCTGAAGACCAGAAACACATGAGCTCTTGGAGGACACTCCAGATCCAAACTGTAGCAAGTGGTGATGAGGAGAAGGTCACTTGTCAGAGGTCTTCTTTCTGGGAAGGTAAGGATTTCTCTTTGGTTTTAGTCCTCATTCTATGAGAAATAACATGGCAGGCCAGGGATATAGCTCAGTGGCACAAGTGCCTGCATGGCAAGCCCAAGGTCCTGAGTTTGATTGCTGGTACCAAAGGAAAAAAAGAAAATAAAGAAATAACATGGGAAAGAGCACCCATTGCATATTGGTTTTGCCTGTGTATTTCAAAAGACAGAGTTTTAGACATGGTGGCTTTCTAGGATGACATGCAGAATAACAGTATCTTCAGAGCTTCAAGGGCTCTAACTTCCTGAAAAGTAAAAAGTTTAGATTAGTTCTCAACTCAAGATAGATAAACATATATACGATATTATACAAAAAAACCCCATTCTGAGATGAAATCTTATAAGCCAGGCTGAAATGATTATATGGAAAATGGATGGAAATTCTGAAACTGAAAAGTGTCCTAAACTACCACCCATCTTCCTATTTTCTTCTATTCCGTAGAGAAGTTCTGGTATGTTTGTATTTTTTCACTGAGGACTGCACTACTCTTAAATAAACATGATTACAGACTAGGGGAGCTACAGACTGCTTCAGGTGCTAAAAATAAAATGGTTAAAATGGAGAGACTTCAATTAGATGTGGGCTGCTCAACAATTTTACTTCTAATTGCCTTGTGGTTATTCCACAGCTAGGAATTGACCATATTCTGTTTAAAGGAGATTGAAGGTCTCGGAAGAAAATAAGGAATGAAATAGGATTTTTGTTACTAAATCCTGATCTCTAGAAAAGTGAACAAAGCTAATCGTATTTCTGCTCTAATACCAAAATGTAGACTCTTCAATTTTGCCTTGGAATTTTCTTTTCAAAATGTCTTATCTCATCATGAAGCTTACAGTGAACAAGCTATTAGAAATAGTGTTTCAACCAAGACATTAATTTTTATTGAGAATGATAGAAGCAAATTGATCTTAATAAAATAAATGTACTCCCATTTAGCTCTCAGTTGCTGCTTCATTTGTGAAAAAATTCTAAATGCCATAGGCATTAATTTGAGAAGTCCTTAAATTGATTATATAGCTTTAAATACTTCCTTTGCTTTATCAAACAAAACAAATCTTGACTATTAGTGTTTTATTTGCCTTATGATATTGAATTAAAAATATGTAATAATTTGGCAATTTAGTTTAAAGGCAAGTAGGTTATTTTTCATATTACTGTTGTGAAAAGGCCTTTCTAAAAGTCTTCACATGAAAAGTATAAATGTACACATTTATGAAAAATATAAATAAATATAAAATATATAAATGTAAAAATATATATCATATATATATATAGTCTTGCTGGTCCCAGACCTAAATCCACAGTTATTTTGATTTATATAACACTTACATATTATCATCAACCCAGCTCCAAGTACACTGAAGTAAAGTCTATATTACTTGGGAAGGGGCGGTCTGAAGGGAATTTTCAGCAACTAAAGTTAATAATCTAGTTCTCAACACAGCCTTCATGACAAAATTTACTGACTGAGTATTCTCAGTTTCTTTATGTGAAGTTTATCCTCTCCTCATCCTTTTATATTAGTATTGCTCTGGACTTCTTAGTATTCTTGTCTGTTTTTTTCATTCTCACTTTATTTGCTTAATTTGGGCTATGTTGCCTTTTTACTTTGATTTAAACATTGCCTACACTGACAATTCCCATATCTCTGTGTGAGGGTATGGCTGTGCTAGTTAATCTTGACAGCTTCACTGGATTGAGAGATTCCTGGAGAGGTGATTGGGCCACAGAGGTGTTATATTTATTAGGGACTTAACCCACTGATGTTCATAAGTGAATGTGCTGCTAGGATGTGGGGGCCCAGTTGGATGTGGGTCACTGACAGTGTGCCTTTGGAAGGCGTATCTCTCACTGGCACTTTTCCTGGCCACCATGAAATCAGCATCTTTGCTCCACCATGCCCTCCTGCCATGATGTTTGTGTTTCAGAGCCAGTTAACTATGGACTGAAACCTCTGAAATCATAAACCAAATTAAACCTCTCCTGTTTTAAGTTATGGATGTGAGCATTTTGTTCTAGCAATAGGAAACAGTCACTAATATCATAGGCATTCAACATATATACATGTACTTAAATGTACATACAAGCACATGCATATTTATATGTACACCTGTATGCAAAACAAAAGAGTGAGGGTCCTCTCATGTCAATCTCAAGCTGTAGAACATTATTATCCAGCAGATGTTCAAAGTTTACATATCAAAAACTAAACTTAAACACTGAACTATAATTTTTTACAAATTGTTATTCTTCCTTTTTTTTTTTTATTTTGGTATCAGGAATTGAACTCAGGACCTTGTGCTTGCCTGGCAGGCACTGTGCCAGTGAACTACACCCCTAGCCCTATTATTTCATTTTTAATTGGTGGTAGCTATTCAGTCACTTGATACAAAAATTAAGATTTAATCTTTCATCATCTTTCTTTCTCCATCTATACAATCTATTTCTTACTGAGTTGGGATTTTAAATTATCTATCTTTATTTTTAAATGCATATTTCAGGCTTTCCACCTTCTTGAAATTACTGCACAACTAGAGTTCTTAATCCTCACTCCTCAAATCCAAAATAATTTTCAGCTACAGCTTTCTTCCATTAAATTCTTCCTAGTTTCCCACTTCCTATAAAAATATATCTATTTTAAAGAGATTAAAATATGAATGTTTTGGGCAGAGATGGTTATCACCTTTCTTTAATCACCAACCTTTCTTTCATTCTATTTTATTTTGTTGTCCAATATAATGAGATAATACAATACACAAAACTCATGTCCTTCTGTCTTTTCTCATATTGTTGGCTCATCTTGGAGTGACTTTCTCCTACTGATTGTGAAAGTAAGATTGTAAAAAGTTTGACACCACATTCATGTTTCAATCCATTTGAAGAGTCTTTTTGTTAAATCATACAGAATTAAACACTTCACTTTTCTGATTTTTGTTGCTGTTGAACAAACTAGTACCAAAACTTGTTCCTTATCAAAACAACTATTTTATTGTATTTCATGATTCTGTGAGTCAGAAATTTGGGCAGGTCTCAACCGGCTGAGTCTTCATCCTATTTGCGGACAGTTGGTGATATTCACCAGGGTACTGGGCAGTGTTAAAGGAAAAACTTTAGAACTTTAGACAAAGTATACTTACGACAGTTTATTTGAGTAAAGAATGAGTCATCCATAGGGCAGCATTCAGAACCAAAAGAGCTTCAGAGCTTTTGACCCAGCAATGTGAGCAGTGAGCTTTTATAGGATAAGCACGGAAACAAAATGGAGAAATTTTCTGATTGGCCACAGCTAGGTATTTTCCTTATTTGGGCCTGGTCTAACTGGGGGACTGCCTGTGATTGGCTGAAACTCGGCTGTTTGTGATTGGTTGAAATCTGGCTATTTGTTACTCTTAAAAAATATGCTCTGAAATTAGGTTTTGGTTTATTTACTTAACTAAATTTGGTTCTGGTTTGTGACAGAGGAATTTAAAGTACAGAGACAAGTTCAAGGCAAATAGCCACCTGCTTATTTAATTTAACAGCAGTTTTAAGGGTCTAACATTTCATGCACAAGCTGGGTACCCTGAAGAAGGCAGAAAGGGTCTCAGATGGACCTTTCTCTTTTACCCTACACTCTCATGAATCTGGAAGGAGAAGAGCTATGCTTTACTCATGTTTGTACCCCTAGCACCCAGACTGTGCATGTTTTATTTGTGTTCAGTTATTCTTCACCCAGTGAGGAGGGACAGCTGCTCAGGAGACTTTAGCTTAGAAGTTTTTTATTGTTTGTTTTTTGTTTTTTTTTGAGACAGGGTCTTGCTCTGCAGTTCAGGCTAGCCTTGAGCTCACTTTGTAGCACAGGCTGATCTTGAACTTATAATGATCCTCCTGCCTCAGTCTCCTGAGTGCTGGGATTACAGGCACACACCACCAAGCCTGGTTTAATTTAGCAGTTCTGTTGAACAGTACTTGTAAATCACCTGGTATAGTTTTCTTCAACCCTGTACACTATTGAGATTTTTTCAGTTTAGTTCTATGGTAGTTTTTCCTTTAAACCTTGCTTTTAGGAATCATATCCAGTAACTTTCCCTTTCATTTTCTTCTCAGTGGCTCCAGGGTATGATGTTAGAAGCATAATAAGAAATTAGAAATCCTCGCTTCCTGATACTGATAAGTAAAACAGACTCTGGAATCAGACAAAGAAAATTTTTAAAGAATGTGATTAACTAGCTTTAAAAGAAAATAAATTTCAGAAATGAAAATAGGACATATTTTGGAAGAACGATTGCTTGTGGATAATTCATCACTCAAGAATTGTGGAATGATATAAGTGCAGCTTGACTGGTGTTCCTTCATATATTTATTTCTAATCTTGCTCAAAGCACTTCCTTTGCTTCATCATCCATAATACAAGAAGGCCAAGTACATTATCCATAAAACAAGAAGGCCAGGTCATAGTAGCTTTTACATTTTCATAGACAGTCAAACAGAAATACTGTTAGAACATATATTTCCAAACTAGGTAAGGAATGGTTTTGGTTGTGGATGAATGACTCTCCCTCTGTCTCCCTCTGTCTCCCTCTTCACTGCAACATAAAAATAGCTTTTAGTTCTGATAGTTGAAAAGGGATTTCTCCTATTGGAATCTTTTCACTTCCCTAATTTAATTGACAATAAAATTTATTTCATTTTAAAAAGTAATTCACAAGGAAATCTCCAGCAGGAGGGATTTAAGAATTACCCAACGTTGATTCTTACAACTAGAGAAGTGTGGAAACATTGTCATAACACATAACACCAGAGTTAACCTAACCGATTTCTCAGTGAGTGAATTTAGGAAGAGCAGTTTTTACGTTGCTAAAGAATTATTCTTGAAAACCTACTCAGAAGGCAAATCAGCCTGAATTGATCAATTAATCAAATGCATTTCTTTCTTATTAGGATTCAACAATATACTGAAGGGCTGAAGGGATTATTGCCAT